AAAATCAGACACAAGAAACTCAAATGAAACACCAGGGAGCTAAATACAAAAACAGAGGAGGCGGGATTCGAACTCACAACAGGAGGGAACTCAGGACCGAGGGGCAAACAGACAGCACATGCTTCATACATTGAGCCACGAGACCAGACAAGTGACAGGGGAGAAACAAGGACTGACGTATGGACGGGATGACCAGCACCACCTGCTGGTCAAACGGGGAAGGGGCACGGAAGGACCACAGCGGGAGGCCGACCCTGACACACACATATGTATATGCACATTTATAGTGTGTAGATATGTGTGTGTTAGTGTGTTACAATATATGTACAGTATATGTAACTGTGTACTGCTGAAACTGATATATGACATACAGAAAAAGTACAACCTTGTGCATTTTGAATCATTGTCATAAAAACTTTAGCCGTAGTTTACATCAGGAAATACTTACAGGGGGCACTGTTATATTCACAGCATGGCTAAGCATTTTGACCATATTGTTCATGAACAATGAACAATTCTGATGTCACTGACAATTTCGTTGACATAAATATGTGCTTTTGAGGGATAAACTGAGGATATTGAGAAAGTTACAGGCCTTTGCAGGTGATCCATTGTGTGGTGCTGTTTGTACTAATTGTTTCGAGAAATGCACTTACTATTTTGCAAACGTTAAGGATGATTCGAGAAATGTACCAAGGCGACTGAGAAAAACTGTAATCTCCAGGCTAATCTAGACTGGAAAAAGTAACTGCAAAAATCAAACTGTTGCATCAATCGTATCTTGTTCTTAACACCTTTGCCAATAAAAAGCTGCTTTGATCTTGTTTACTGGTATAGATTTAAAATAGAAATAGAAACCCCTGATACTCTGTATTCAGAGTACAAGCTATAGGTAAAACTGATTAAAGTATTTTATTGGTGATAAAATGTTATCATTATTTGTGCATTTAGGCATTTTTAAAAAAGCAACAAAACAATACAATTTCGTTTTTTTAAATTCACATGAACATCTTCTTGCAGATTTCAGGGACTTTTTACAAGTTCTTGGTGGGGCGATGTTCATCCCCACGTGTTGCCTGGTAATTTGTGTGCTGCGCCGCAGAAAGAGAAGTAAGTCCAAATGAATTCAATCTTTTACCAGTGTTTAGAAAGTTGCTCTTCGAAGTTATATATCCCATAAGCCAAAAGCAAAAAGAAACAATGCTTTCCGTCTTCCAGCGAAGAAGCACCACACTAGAGATGACAGTGAACCTGAGTTGCAAGTGGCACTGCAGTCAGCACTGGAGTCCAGCGCGCCTGAGGACACTGCAAGCCGAACACACAAGTTATTGTCCTGTTGATGCTACTGAATCTGCATTATCTCGTTCAGTTGGCCTGCTTCCCACCCTGCTAAAGACTGTATTCTTGGCACTCTAACTGTGTTGTATAAGAATCTATAATTTCAGCTAGTTTCAGAATAAGATTGTTATTTGCTATGGTTTATATACGCTTTACGGTGTAGATATGTAGATACGGTATTCTTCATGTACCTATGAAATACGTTAATTTCTTATGCTTGATGTAGCCATTTCTTAGTCAGGAAAGATATAATCAGTGTTTTCTGATTGGTTTGTTGTTACCCTGGCCATTGATTGCTCTTTTGACCTTTCGCAGTTTTGAACGTTGAGAAAGATTGTGGTTTTATGGGCGTAGGGTGTCAAAATTCACTAGATGTGTTACCACAGGAAGACCTGCTTATCGTAGATATCATTGTACAGTAAGATAACACGTCTTCTCTGCCTATGCAGAGAAACATTTGTATTCTACAGATTATGTTTTATAGGTTTGCTTGATTGCTCTGACACATTTCAGGAAACATAACATTCTCAAGACTATAAGAGCATTTCTCAAAAATGTTTATGCATATAGCACAAAAATACAATTTAGCTGCAAATTCATGCAACTTACCCAAAACAATTAACTCATGTCTCAAAATCAAATAATTCCACCAATGAATTAGTCAGTGCCACCAAAATGAAAAGTACACTAAGCATTGTTTTAACCATGAGTCAAAATGCTTAGATATATTGTCAGTATGTCAGTGTAAGTCTTCTCCTCAGCTCCACAATTCTGAATGAAAGTCCATTCCTACTTTCTCTTTATCACTGACTGATACTTTTTCATTAGCAAACTGATACTTATTCATGTCAAAGACACCAGTTTCGAAATGGCAAGACTCTACATTGCAGAATGTAAAGTTCACTGGCAAGAGAAAGCACTCACATGCACATGTAACTTCAGATCTCAAGACACAGTACAGTAGCAAGCAAAAAATCACACAGCACTGTATAACACAAAAACAGCAAAATGACACCAAATCATGTACTCTGGGAACCAAAAACACAATAGCGTGTCACTGCGATTTATGGAATATTTTTTTAAACGTATTGAATCTTTGGTGAACTGCTCTGCGTGTGGTGATTTTCCACAACGATTACATACATGTGTAGTTTTGGTGTAAATAATTTTGGTGTAAAATTATTACAGTGGGAAACTGCATAATCTATTTTGACCAACAAGACTAAAGCTATTGAAAATTGTGCCAAATGATGACAATTGTACAAAGCCGTTTGCATATATGTACTCATTTGGAGATTTGTGTGAAACAATGAGAAATTATATTTTGCTGTGCAGAAGTGACATTATTGTGTGAGGATTACACTGGTTGTTTTGCAAATGTTGATTGTCATTTGAGAAATGCTCCAAAGCAATCGAAAAAACTGTAAAAGATGACACACTGGCCATATTAAACTTGAAATCAATTTTTCCCACCCTAAATGTTTCATAAACCTGAAAAATAGAAAATTAAATTCAATGGAAGAATAATCCTTATACAAACATTTTGTACTGTAAACCTACTTGTTAATAAATATTTACAAGTAACATATATATTATATAATTATGTGTCAATAAGAAATGGAAGCAATTTTTTGCCTGACTATAATAAAGCAGAATGTTCCGGCGAGTTGCAATCAACCTGAAAGCAGTTAATCTGTAGGCATTTTGCACATTGCAAAACGTCACTTTGTCTCTCACTATTAAAGGAAGTGCATGTGAAATGTAATACACTGATATGGTCCAAAAGCTTTGAATAGTCCGTGTTACAAAGTGACATAGCAAAATCTCCATTGTTGATCACAAAAAGGTAATTGTTTAGCTTCTTTTTCATTATAAACATATTTGTTTCTGTATTTATTTATTCAGATTTGTTAACATCTGACAATGAAAACATGTCATTATTATAGATTTTCCCAGTTGCTTTGAAGCATTTCTCAAATGAGTCATCGTTAAAACGATGCTGATTGTACTGAATATTTCATTGCTGGAATTATTTGCTTTTGAGACATGAGTTCCGTACTGTTTTTCTCAGTCGTTGTGGTACATTTCTCGAATCATCCTTAACATTTGCACATTGCAGATCAAAGCAGCTTTTTTTCTGCAAAGGTGTTAAGAACAAGGTACGATTGATGCAATTGTTTGATTTCTGCAGTTACTTTTTCCAGTCGCTTTGGTACATTCCTCAAGTCATCCTTAATATTTGCAAAACAGTAAGTGCATTTCTTGAAACAATTTGCACAGACAGCACCACATAATGGATCTTCTGCAAAAGGCTGTAACTTTTTCAAAATCATTGGCAGACTTAGGGAGGGATTCGGCCCTATTGACTGCCTCTCAAATGGAAAAAATAAATGATTTTGGTTGCCCCTTTACACAATAATTTATGAAGATGTGCAAGAGAATTTAATAATATTTCATAATGTGTGCCCTTCAAGCAATGTTGAACGCAAGATGGGGAGAGTGAGAGCACTGGAGGGGAGCAAGGGGGGGGGGGCAACTGGTCCTCTTTGTTAGCTGGGACAGGGCCTAGGTGACCCTGAAGACGATAAGCTGTGACGCCATGGCTGATTAAAAACATTGCTGAAATGCCCATTAGAGTGGTGAAAACACTGCTATTGGCTGACCTTCACATGTTTAGTGCCGTCTGTGGTGCCCCCTTCATGTGTGAGGACTTGTCCAATAGACCAAGAGAATGAGATGCAATGTCTTACAGTTTTTCTCAGATCAGAACTGAAATTCTCAAAACTACTTGCCCAACCTCCACATCATCGAGTCACTTGTGCACATCATAAAATCAACGTCTCGTTCTTTTGTGAAAATTGCGAATGCTTTGGCACATTCATGCAAATGATTATGTACAATTGTTTGTGGTTTCCTACACTATCAATTGCTTATGTCGTGTTGATCAGAATATATTATTTGAGTTCTCTGTTGAATAGTCTCACCCCTGAAAACATGTAGGCATTAGTTCATTGCATAAGTCATTACATGTAAAATGGTCGAAGCAGTTGTCATAATCTGTCAAGTATATTCTCTATACAGCTCTATTACACGTGTGTCCTAAATTGATGAACTTCTCTCAGTTGAATCTTGACTTTCACCAATAGAAGAGAAAGTTTGAAGTGTTAGATCAACCAATGATCAACCAGTTCTCTAAAATAGCTCAGAGATGCATCTCATGAGCCTTCAGTTGGCAGCTTTAGAAGCAAAACCACAGTGTTCGCTCTGATGGCACTGAGCAGCTCCTTTAGTGGCAGAGGCTCCTTATCTTCTCTTATCTTTTGCAGCTATTCCATGGTGTTGTGTTATTTGCATGAATTCTTTTGAGAAATGCTCTTAGAAATGTTAAGTATGTTTCATGAAAATGTGCCAGTTGAGGACAACTGTAACCCTTATGCACAGTGCTTTTCATAAAATAAAATAAATTATGCACACTCCTAGCGCATAGCGGAGGTGTAATTCAGCTCACAGTAGATGCTTAAGTGTTTCTGTCTCTATTTTCACGTTTGTCAGATGCTTGGTTTAGGAGAAAACCTTCGCCTCTTTGGATTGTTCATTGTTGTCTTGGTTGCCCTCGACTACGGTAAGCTGTCAGACAATGCAATAAAACTGCATCTTTGTAATATTCATATTATGGTCATATTCTGACATTCATCTATGAACATTTTATTTAAGAATGCTTTTTGGAGCTTTTCATGTGTTTAGGCTCATTTGTGTTGTCAGAGATCTTTATGGAGAAGTATTTCATTTCCCATTGAAAGCATCTGCTCAGCATCTCAGTGGGTAACTGGTTGCTCGCACCTTGAGGGCAGGGATTCGAATCCCACTCTGGCTCTTTTTATGTGGAGTTTTCTTCTCCCTGTATTGTGTCACCGTGTCACCTTGGGCTCCACACTAGCATTGTGAGTGGGTAAGGGGGTAAAATTTGCAGAGATGAGTTATATTGTTCCTTGAGTATATACAGTACCAGTAAAGAGCTGGGTCCTCTGAATCANTTCACTCAATGCACCTCGCAGGGGGTGTGGAGCAGCGCCTCCCCAGTTTGTGAGGGTAATTACACAGACTTTGACAGTAGGCCTGGGTGATTTGGCATAATATTTTATTACGGTAAATTTTTTCATATCAGTAAATATTGACAATTGCCATGATATAATTCATTATCTTGCTACTTCTTGGCTTCACTGTTGCTTAAAATTTCGTACGAATTGCCCTAAAACAGACTGAGGACATTACAAAAGGCAAAAAATTGAATGGACTGCAGACATACATTTCTAACCAATACCAGACACTAACTGTCCCGTATTTCTTAGGACAGAAAGTGGAAACCCTAATTGCTGGTCTTTGTGACTGTAAGCACTGGCATTCCGCATGTTCTACTGAACAGCAAAGCTCCAAGTGATGAAAATTGTATGCATTATTTCCAGTTTTAGTTGGCACACTTTTCAGTACGTGCACATCACCAGTCAGTTGTGTGTTGGACTTCAAACAGCAAAGAGTACCAGTACACCACCAACATTTTTTACCTCATTTACCCTTAGTATGTCCTTTTTTAAAGTATGCTGTGGCTGCTGAGCTGTCACTTTCTACACCAACATTTGAAGTTTGGTTTGATGGAGCACTCACCTCTTCCATGATATTACCAATAACTCAATGCTAACTCAATGCTAACTCAATCGACCTTACTGTGCATTCGTTGGGCATTGGTTGTCTCTTCTTAAAAGATTACCATATGATTTGCTGGAATAGCGCTTATTTCCATTATGTGATAACCTATGCTCTCAGCTCGACAGTGTCGCCCCTTGGAGGTACCATCCCATGGTCACATGACGTGCTCCCACCCTCATTCCCACTTCAGCTTCGGCTCCAGGTGTGAGCTGGGCTGTGAGGAGGGCTTCCTGCTCAGAGGATCTCACCTTCTGCAGTGTACTACATCTGGGCTTTGGAGTAATGTGACGCCCTCCTGTCAAGGTGATGTACAGCATGGCCTCCCTAAACCTAGTTCTATTTTATTAATACATCGCTTAACAAATATAGGGGCTATTTAAATATGTTATTCATAGATACCTAAAGCTGTTGTGATTGCCCCTCTTTAGCTGTGCAGTGTAAGCCCCTAGAAGCTTCACCACCACTCTCCATGAACTGCACTCATCCACTGGGCATCTCCAGCTTCCAGTCTCTGTGTCACTTCCACTGTGGGGAAGGCTTCATGCTGAATGGGACTGAGTACATGTCCTGCACCTCCTGGGGCCTCTGGACGAATCCTTTACCTTCATGCAGAGGTCAGTTTTCCACCCATAGAGGTTTATTGTTATCTGGAGCAGCTAGTGGACAGTAGCTGACCGTCAAGCTCAAATGAAGCCAGCCTGTTTTGAGAACACTAAGCGAGTGGGGGCTGCGGGATCAGCTTGGGGAAGACTAACCAGGGGAAACCTGGCGGTGCAACTTGGAATTAATGTTAAGTAACATTGTGGAACTTTGTTCAGCTGTTGCTCCAGTTACTTATTTAATCATCCAATGTCTGATATTTGTTAACATTCTTTGATTGTTTATGAACATTGCCGCCAATATTTGTGTAGTAATTTTAAGAGTGTAATGCCAAAAATGCAAGGTGTTTCCACAATTTTGGACACTAGTGTAGGGCTTGAACCACAGAGTACAGTCAAATCCTGAGACTTTCATTAATACAGATGATGCTCGGCTTACGGTGGTGATATATTCATTTCATAAGGTGTAAATATCATTTGTCTAATATGATTATATGATAAATGACATAGATAAGAACACATACGATACGTTGTCAAACACCGTATAAGATATTCACGCTTGTGATCGCTACAGAGACTGGAAACGTGGTTGTGTGGAAGCTGCCGTTGGCTGGCATCAGTAGAATGCATCATACAGCAAATCGCTACCCTATCTAGGATTTCCACTGCCTCGTGCCCTGTCCTTTTTGGGAAAGACTCCAAGCTCATCGCAACTTTGAACTGGACTAGCAGTCAAGAAAGTCAATTGGATAGATGCTGTCATATCAAATCTTACCTTATTCTTCCTGCATCAGGGTTTTGTTCTTTAACATGTGAATGATGCATACGGTGCTAAAGGCTTTAACTGAGTCTGTGATCTTTACGTTTCAGTGACAGAGACGTCGCTCGGGGTTCGCATGCTAATGTATGCGGGGGTGGGGTCTGCCACATCGATTGGCCTGCTTCTCGTGGGCGGTCTGCTATTCTACGCTGCTACACACCTTAAAGAAAAAGGTATCAAAAAATCAACACATACATAAACATCATATATATGTACTAGGAATGTACTGTATTGGGGGGGTTGGCAGCAGGATCCTGAGCATCAGATATGAGATGTAAGCACAATACTTAGGCAGGTGGTGTCTATTTCTATGCTGTGCTATACTACATTAATGCTAAAGCATGATATTATTCATCTCCCTTTCTGTAGGTGGCGCAAAAAAATTGTAAGTCCAGTTTTAATATGATAAAAATGCTCTCGTTGAATAACAACCACTGGAATTATTAGTCAAAATATGCCTGAAACTTAATTAGAAATTATTTTAATTTACTGTTCTGATTACTACTACGTGTTTCCAAATGCAGTATCCTAACGGTTTCCTTTCCTTTTTTCAGGGATGAGTCTCTGTGGGTAGATCAAGAAAACCCCGCCTTCGAGAACTGTTAGAAAAATCAGATCAAATTCCATGCTGTTCATCAAGATTTTGTATTCTTTTGAATTTACAGCACAGATTCAAACTGCTGTTCTGACTCTCTCCACTCATTCATTACACAGAACTAAACTTTTTAAAAAGGAATTAAACTTTTTTTTTTTAGTTGTACAATAGACATGTTAACTTTTCTGTTAGGTGTTCAATATATAGGCCTACACGTTAACTTTTAGGTTAGGCGTATAATATCGCATACGTAGGTCAATTTCTTTCATACAAACAGTTTTCAATCATATTTATGTTAATATGTAAATCGAGCATTTATGCTTTGCATTGTGTATCTGGAGACATTGTGCTTCATGATATAGTAATACTGTAGATAGATATAGTGAAACGTCACCCCAGCGATCTGACTGACTTTCGCTTGGAACAAGAGTAAAGTGCGGGCCTCCCCAGCGGCGACAGCGCCGGACGGGAGAGCGAGTCCCGAGCATACTGTCCCCAAGCATGAGGCCTGCGAGTCCCAAGCATACTGTCCCCAAGCATGAGGCCTACTCCCTACCTGCGCCGGACCTCAAGGCGGCCTGCGTCTTGGCAGCTGCCTCCGCCGTCTCCGGCCGCCGGGGGCCGGGTCAAGTGGTGACAGATGAGTGCGATGGAAAACCTGAGGGAGCGGGTGGCAAATGCCAGCCGTCTCAACGGGTCGCCCGTCACCTGTCACCTCCGCTAAGCTCCGCTACCTCGGCCACCGCCGCGTCGCCGGGGGCTGCCAAGACAGAGGCCGGGCGCGAGGCGTACAGCGTTTCGAAGGGTGACGTAAGGGGGAGGAATTAGCGGAATCCTGGTGTAAAAACCTGTCTCTCACATCTCGTAAGCATGTGCCATTTTTTAAATCAAAAATGTATTCCATAAATTTGCTCTTTTGTCATATGTTGATTAAAAAAAAGTGCGATTATAACCATAAAAAGCTTGCTGTAATTTTACGCTAACGGAAATATTTGAATTAAAGAACAATATCTTTCAGAGGGAGGACATACAAAAACGGACACAGAAGCATAATGTCGATTATATAAGAAAAACACTAACTTTGGGACGTATAATGTACTTAAAACAACGCTCGGTTTATGGTATGACGTTAGTAACTTAAACGCTAAATTCTAAGTGCATAAACAGAAAGACGCACTTAAGTCCTGAAAGTATAAACGATTAAAAAAAACGTAGAAGTGCAGCAGAATACATATTCATTGATTTAGCCTTGCTCACACATGAAACGTTCTTAAGTATTTAGCTACTAATGTTTAATTATGAAAATATCCTGTTGGGACGTTTTTAGAAAATGAGCTCATCTGTTTCTGCTCTGAAGCAGCATGATGCCAATTATAACAGTTAAAAGACAGAGGGTTTGTGGCCCAAGGTTGGCACAGAAAGCGCAATAAATTACCGATCAACAGACGGGGTGCTCTTTGGTTATTTTCAGAATAATAATGATGTTATTGCTGCCCGCTGTGCCGGCGCACTATTGGTTTATTGCGATCCAGACTCCTTCCCTGTTTCCGCGCATTTTCCCTCGATGAAATCTCTAAAGCCGGTCAGCTTTCCGGGGCAGGCAGCGCAAAACAGCGGCTGAAACAGCGGCTGTAGGGCGGCCGCCGAAAGCGTTTGAACGCGTGCCAGCCGGTGCCCGGCAGCCGCCCCTGCGCGTGTGATGGACGGAAACTCCGGGGAGAAAGATGTCCGTCTTCTACATTGACCTTGGATTATTTTTGTGTCGCATATATGCACATATACACCAGTTTGACATTCGATTAATGGCACTAGCATTTCAGTGAATTTGTTAAATCCATTGTGCATTTGAGTGTTTCGGGTTCATCCAACCGCTCTACGGCGACCTGGGCTTGCAACGCCCGCAAATGACAGATGATCAGATTGCTCCTGACCGACGAATCGCGGACTTTACCTTTAAAGGTCCGGTTGCATGCTGAGAAACGCGAGATGAAACGAAAAGTTCACATCCAGGGCAGAGAGCGCCCATTGGCTTATTGCGGACCCTCATATCTGCGTGTCATACCGGGCAGTTACTCTGCCATAGCTTCTAGTCCTGATTTCTGAACCCCGGTATTACGAGTGCATTCCAGCGGAGATGCAGAGGCTAGCCTGGGTGGTCTCCGCAAAGGGAAAAAAGGTAAAAAAAAAAAAAATGCAGGTATGTCCTTTGATAGCAAGCCGCAGAGTTTTACCCGTCATGATCACAGGAGGGATGTGATCATTACCCATCTCTTTTGACATCAAAGAAATGGTCAACTTTGACCCTTGAACCGAGGATGCCTCCCTGACTGCAGAAACTACTTTGATGATAGGAATTATGTTATATTACCCTAATCATACTTAAATATAATGTGAGTGTATTTGATCTGAGATGGGCTGGCATCCCCAGTCTTATGTCCTGTGCTCCCCCCCCACCCCATGACTCACACAAGCAGTTATAAGGTGGATGAATGATGGACGGACATAATGCTTGAGTGTGTTTGTCCGGCGATCGACTGGCCATCTCACTGGGCGTTTACTGCCTTGGCCCTGGGGCTCTGGGCCACCACCAGCCCTGTACTGGGTAAGCAGGTATCCAAGATGGATTGAAAATTATGATAGTAACACATTTCTTGAGCCAGATTTCCATTAGATAAATTTTATTGGAACGTGAGCTGAACATATGTAACAAACGTTTCGACGTTCTACTAGTGATCATAAAAAAAAGAATATTTTCAACGACACTGGAAGGTGACAGTGTGAGTCAGTAAGAGTTGCCTGCTCTGGGCCAACGTGGGGGAGTCGCATGCAGAGTAAAATGCTCAGATTGGGCTCCTGACCTTGGACCGAACCCGTGCTGGTATCTCCATTTTCTGCGCTCCGTCACGTGTGGCTAACCTGCACATTACCAGCCTGGCGTTAGATTACCTGCACTGAGAGCCCCGCCCCCCCCCCACCCTCCAGGGCTGGCCGCTGCCCCTCCAACTGTGACCGGCACCACGCTCTCCCTGCTCTCAGGTGACTCTGTGGGATGCTACCTGACTCTCTACATACCGGGGGGGGGGGGATTCCAAAGGGCACATGGTCCAGCTCCCCAGCTTTTCTGCGGCTTTCCAGCCCAGTCGAGACTGACGCTCATTAAATCCCCAATTCCACCGGCCCGCAGAATGCTGGGGGTTTGCGGGTGTGATGGGTTTATTTCCCAAAACAATCAATATATTTTCAACCCAAGCCATTTTTACGACTCCTGATGTTCAAACATTCTGATGGCATCTGAAAAAAAAATGAGAACAGCTAAATTTATCTGGTCCATCGCTTGACACCCATCCTGCCCACTGGTCAAAAAGTTTTACAACCAGTACCCCCCCCCCCCCTCCTTACCCATATTTACAAGTTTTACTGGTCCACGGTCATCAAAAGGCTGGGAGGCGTTACCCTAAACTACCAGTACTACCTGTGATTTAATGATCCAACTGCCCCAAACCTGCCTATAGCTAATGTCATACAATGTTTATAAATACAGAGGAGTTATTTACAGCATATGCCGTGTTTCCCTCCAGCGCTGGGTGAAACGTTTCTAAATCGCATACTGGGGGCTTCGCCAAAACGTCTGTTGTGGAAACAGTGCAAGATCCTTTCAGTCTGGTTTCATGGGTTTTCACGTGGGTTGACCCTCCCCGGTGGTCGCCGTCCGCGAGCCCCTGATGAGTCTTTTCTGTTCCGTACAACAGAGGGAAATGTTTTTCAGCCTGATACCTCCGAAGCTTGGCCCGAGAGAGGTGCACTCTCTTCCCCCATGGGACACTGGCCACCTGCCCTGGGGCACTCAGGACGCAAAGTAGGAGTCCTGCATGGAGCAGAGGCGGTCGATGGGGTTGAGAAAGGAGGGGTCGTGGGGGGACAGGCAGTCGCCAAGGTGACAGAGGGAGTCAGCATCCAAGCAGTGGTATTCACTTCCTGTGGAGGGGAGAATTTGTCAACTGTTTATTTATCAGAATTTAATACCTGCATTTTTATATGTAAAATGTAAAAAGTTACACATTAAACATGCATAAAAATACTCAGTGTTTAGTAAGACTGGGGATGAGAGATAAAGCTAGTGAATGTGACGTAAGACACGGTGAGGGTGGCTAATTACCAAAGGGGTGCATGTGGTCCCCAGGCATCTGGGGGGGAGTGAGGCCTTGTCGAAAGGGGTCCGCTTTATAGGCCTGCTGCTCCAGAGCAATGATCTGCTGCTGCTGCAGGCTGGAGTATGAGGTCAGGCTGTCCATGCTGGGGTTCAGGCTTCCACAGGGGGGCGCTAGAGAAGATGCCACAACACATGTGTCAGCCAGAGTGCAGTTGCTACACTGAAAGGGGAATGATAATCAAAAAGGCCTTGGGGTGGGTGTGGGTGTGGGGGTCCATCAACCCACAGGAGGACCATTACCATATAAGACAAAACCCTGCCCTCTAACCCTAAAAGTATAAAAACACTAAAATTAAAGTGAAACTCAATTTTTATACTTAAATAAAAGTACAGATACCACACCAAAATTCTGCTCAAGTAAAAGTAAAATATTACTCAAGTAAAAAGTACATTAAGTATCAAAAAGGAAAAATTCCAATCTATTGATCTTACAAAAAGCAGACTATTATTTTATTTTGTCAGGGAAGTAGGCTTAGGCTACACACAGGGCAAGACAACGTGAAGATTTGCAATGTACAGCAAACCTGAGCACCACTCTTGGCCAACATCTCTAAAATGGTAATAAATTAGAAATCTTGCGCAATTATCATTTTATTCATTCATAGCCAAACATATTTTTGATGACTGATTCGATCCTTCTGGGCACTGATGATGCTGGTCCTGCACAAATCTATGGAGAGACTGCCATTCATTACAGATCATTCTTCTCAGCTGTTCTTTGCTGGAGGGGATTTCTTGCCCTACCTTCCACTTTCTGTTCTGCTGGATTCAAGTCAGGAGACATACTTGGCCAGTTCAAAGTTTCCACTCTTTTGTTGTTTTTTTTTTTTTTTAAACTATTGTGTGATTTTTGCAGTGTGTTTTGGGTCTTAGTCATGTTGAAAAGTTCCTCTTCTGCTGAGCTTCTCATTCAGTTTTCATTCAATATTTTGATATACAAACATGCATTCAGGGTGACATCTATAAATGTCATCTTCCCTACCCCTTTTGCACTCATGCAGCCCCATACCAGAACAATCCCACCTCCATGTTTCACTGTCAGTACAATGCAGTCACTGTCATAATCCTGGCCACGTCCAAACATGCTGATCCAAATTTATTTATTATGGCTTCATCTGGTTTCATTTGGTTGCATTAGACACAACCCATGTGAAAATCGTGACATTTAAGATGTTTGCAGGTTATTTTATAACCTTGTTCATGGAAATATTGTTACCTGGAAATCACAAGTGCATTGAATTTTGTTGCAGTGCTCAAAGGTGTACTTAGTTTTGTTGCATTGTATTTTGAGGTCCTTATTTTCAATTTAGTTTATCTACCCTAGTTTATCTATACATTAAATGAAATATCCTACACTAACTTAAAAATGATACAATTATTGAAAGATGATACAGTCTGTAATCATTTACCATTTTAGAGATACTGGTCAGGAGGGTACTCAGTTTTGTTGTATAGTGTATAATTTGGCTTCCAGTTCATCCTTCCAGCCTCCAACACAGCTTAAAGAAACACAATACAATTATCTTTTTAACTCCCTGAATGGTATGCAAAGGTAGGTAAACATCGGTCATAAAGGTGGTACGCAGCTTACCGTGATATGGTACATGGTGTAAAATGTTTGTGAACCACTGCTTTAGAAAGCTCACAAGATTGTTTAAAATCACAATTAAATCGGCCTGCTGATCAATTATTTTCCAGAGACTTAAAAAAATAGTCAACACTGCTAATTAGCACCATTGTGAATAAGTTTTAACGCCAGCTATTAAGCGGATTATCCATATATCCATTATCTATTCATATATCGTTTTTCATATTTTTCTTCATATTTTTATTTCTGCTAGTGTGTGTTATTTTTAGACATGACTCAGACCTGCACGATTGTCCCAGTCACAGTGCACCAGGAAGTAGCTATAGTGAACCCAATATTCAGCCTAGCAACTGCAAAGCTTTCCTAGTTTTTCATTATGGAAAATATCTACAATGTATATATGGGTGTGAGTGTGTGCAGGCGCGCACGGGCGATCGTACATGTTGTACACCACTAGATGGTGCTCTCTGTACAAAAAAGGACTCAAAACATGCACTAAAGTAAACCAAGAGCACCATTTAGTGGGGTCAGAAAATACAGCAAATGGTTCATGAAGCGTCATTTTGGCCATCACTATTCCTGACTCTCGGCAATCGACAAGTTAGCGAATTTGATACGTTCGCACGTTTGGTTAATGCGTTTATTAGACACTTCTCCTAAAACTCATTGGAGATGTTTATGATGCAATTTATGAATGTATTATTTTTATTATTATCTATAATGCATATAATTACATTATTGGCCATTAGTATCACTATTTCTATTATTTAATTCATTTTGTCGGGTGTAAAGGCTAATTTAAACTTCTGGCATAATGCCATAGCAAGGATGACGGTACAAATTTCACTTACCTCCATTATGTTTATTCGTACCTTACAAGACTAAAAACAATAAAAAGTAGTATAGACACTGACTAGAAGGAAAAATGCATGAAAAGTGAAAAGCGTAGCGGCTCGACATTTTTCCAAATCTGTGTACGGGAAGTTCAAATCAACACAAATATAAACAGGATTCAAAAATGTATACTTTGTTAAATTATTGTTTTTTCCATTTCAATTCCACGATTTAACAATCTCACAAGGGGGGAAGACAATAAATGCAACACAATTTTGGCGGTGTAATTATGTATCTGTTGAGCGACACACGCTCATCGAGAAGCCTCTGGTTGCGACATGCGGGAAGGCGGACTTAGACATCCAAACCGGCCCTTCGTAGCGGGAAAAGCCACACCTATGTCCAACACATCTTCAAGTGGAAGCAGACGTGTAAGCTGAAGAGACCTCGCCGAACTATTAGTCTAAAAACCCGCGCACACAAAAACCACCTGAGTGTGTGACACGAGCACTCAGACCGGCATCCGCTACCGGAAAACCACTCTCGCGAGGGCGTATTTCTGCTCCACGCGCACAAATATGGATACTAATAACTGTTACTGGTTTCTATATTTACTATACTGCACTTTTCATCGTTATTTTAGAGCATGTTTTTCTCATGTATTGAAAAGGAAAAAGTTTACTGTCACTCATCGTATGTAAGTACACTCCATGGTTCGAATTACGGGGGAGCATGGTAGGGCATCCTAACCTTAACCATAATTAACCAAACAATTTACAAGAAATTTGGCATTTTTGCGCCGCAAAGTACAGTAGGCCGTGTTGAATATGGCCTGGGGTGGATGTCCAACCACACCTTCCCGCAGGTCGCAGCGAGACATATTTGGACCTCGTTTTCACCGTCGCGGCTCCAGCACGTCCCTTGAATCCTGCATAATTAATGGTAATATACTTGTATACACTTAAATATTTATGTGTACTATTGTGTGATATAATGCATATATAATCCGTATATAATTAGGCTAAATTAATTATTCAAATGCGTTTTGAATTGTAAATTTACTTCCAGATGTATCCCTATAATAAATGTCAAAAGTTTCGCTTTGTTACCTGTTCATCTCCCTAAAATCTGCCGTTTTGCGTTTGGCCATGTGGAGGAACTTTACGTAATTACACAGCCCTCCCAAGCGTGGAGTGAAAAATGTCCGTGGAAAATGCGCTAAAGGGTTATTTACCGATATTTTGGTGTTTTTATTGCCCAAATTGCCTATCTATCACTTACACCCCGCACTTAAGTTGGTGGGAGAATTAAACTTAAGTACGTGCTTTTTTGACTTAGGTGCATGGCAGAATCGACCCCTAAGTTTATTATTATAAAGCTAAATGCCGTGTTTCTTGTAAGGATAGACTTGCTGGTTAAATGGTTAACATTAGTAGATAGTTTCCAAAAAAAGTGATCTCTATTGCTTGGCCAACTTTTACCAGTGGATTGTAGTCTGTTTATTTTGAAAAATGACTAGCAACTCCACCCAATTATATAGCAACTGTGTGAAAAAATCCTGGTGACGCCCATGCTTGGTCAAGATTTTAAAAACAACCAAAAAGAGTATTCAGGTTTTACTACAAAAATCAAATAAGTACATAAAAGATACTGCGGATGAATGACAGGTAAATAAGTTTCCTTGGAGGAGTAATTTAAGAGTCTGATTCTAGTTTGACTATGACAGTTCGACATGGTACTGTCTCAATCAGATATAACTATATACATGTTCTTATAGAGAATACAAAAAGTGAAATCCACTTGGCCTCAGTGCCACTGTTACATGTTCTGTCTGGAAGGGCCTTGTGTAGACGATACCTGGCTGTCTTTGGGGGTTGTGCTGATCTTGAGGCTGTTGCTGCTGTTGTTGCTGCTGCTGTCTCCTTGCCAGCTTCTTCATCTGAAACAGCCAGACAAACAGAATGGTCCAGAAAAAAATGGCACAGATTCCTAGCCAGTTACACGGGGAAATAAACATACTATTATCAATCCACTGTTAATTTTTAATGCCTTTCTTTTCATTTATCTTGGGCTTGAAGAGCATTTGAAAGCAGTGCCATCAAAACTATGTTATTTATGCATTTAAATAGGGCTGGGCGATAGACACGATATATCAACTTGTCATTATATGAAATTGAAATGAAAAAAAAAATCAGAAATAAGTCCTCAAGAAGGAACATTGCTTGATAGCATGCATCAGCCAATCACATCACAGAAACAAATGGAATTCCAACCAATCATATGGTAGTCATAAGAACAGACAACCTCTGCCTAACAAATGCATAGCAAGACCTTTTTCATGTTCTGAGTCTGTTTAAGAGGGACTCTAAGGAAAATGTAAGCAAAAATTGAGCCTTGAAGTAAATGACTTGAATTAAATTTAGATAATTATCGATATTAACTGATATTTTAAAAAATCATGATAAAATATTTTGCCATATCGCCCAACCTTACATTTAAATGGAAAAAAATCATGGTAACGCTTTACTTGAAGCTGTCGTCTATAATGCTTACCTTAATAATGCATTATAATGGTCAGTATAAGAATAAATAAAACATTACAGCATCTTCTACTAACAGCCATAAGGCACTGTAGTGTTGATTATAATACTTCATAAGCTCCAATGAAGCTCTCATCTATAATGCACTATAGATACCTTCATAATGCATTTTAAAGGTCGGTATAAGAATTAAGGATGCTTTGTACTGCATTATGAAGGCATCTATAGTGTATTATTGGTGAGAACTTCATGAAGCATTCATAATGCATAATAAACACGGCTATAATGTATGCCTTTTTATAAATATTTATAGATTTATAAATATATAATGCTTTATGAATGCATTATAATGTGTTGTGAATGTGTTCATCGATTCTTATTAGACATGGCATTCACAGAAAGTGTCATAATTGTAGTTTAATCTTATAATGTGATAGAAAGCACTGGAAAGATCTGCAGAGGCTACAGTCTCACTAGCACCAATAAAATAGTCCCTGTGTTTTTTTTTGTTATTTTTTTTGAATGAAGGTAATAGGATAAGCTGGTACCTTAGCTCTTTGGTTCTGGAACCAGACCTGCACGACTCGCACACTCAGCCCCGTCTCTGCTGCCAAGGTCTCCCGCACCTTCGCGATCAGAGAGACACTGTGACTGTCGGCGCCTGCGTGTGGCCTGTGCCCAGCCATCTGCCTTCACATGATTCAACTTGGCAAATGGTGGCGCACCATTCTGTGGCGTACCTGTAGTCCGGGAGCCCCGATCCAAACACGCTTTTGCCAGCAGCCTTGTTGTGTTTGATTATTCAGCTATTTAAATGCTGGCTCCCAGTAAAAATACTCAGCAGCAAAAAAATAAATAAAATCTGTGTGTAGGGAAAGCCTTTGCCGTTTTGGCTTATCTGATTGTAAGGTGGGGTGGGGCTTGGGCCTCCTGGGCGGGGCTGGGTCAGGAGGTGATGAGCCTATTCATTCTCCTCAACCATCCCTTATTGCAGATAATATCAAACTGGGCTCTGTTTCTTTCCCAGCCTGAACATCCACCCAAATCTTGATAGGTGGTGCAGCAGCCGACTGTTGTCCTTCCCCATCTCATCTTCTCATGTCTCCCTGGTGCCAAAGCTGAAATCTTTTACTCTCCTTCCTTTCCTGTTTTTGTAAACCCATCTCCAGCCCCCTACCCAAACTATGTCCCTGTTCCGCCTCCCCATCTCCCCCCCCCACCCAGACTGGGTCGTACAACTGAAGTCTTTGGCTCTCACCCACCTTTCGGCAGGGTTTGGAAGAGACCTCAAAGGAGGCTTTGAAGGCCCGTCTTTGCTGGGTGGTCAGGATCGTCCTGGGGCGTTTAGGGCGTTTGGGGTCAGCGTCCTCAGCGCCGCTTCCTCCGCAGGTCGTCTTCAAAGGGCCGTCCTCTTCCTCATCACTTTTACCTAGGACAATTAGGTTAGATTAGATTCAACTTTACTGCCATTGTGTTGAGGACAGGTACAGAACCAATGAGATGACATTAGGTCAATAGTGAGAAAAGGTGTTGCTAAAACCATGGCAACATGCTAGCCCATCATTAGGCAGCGCGCTAAAGGGAGTGGGATTATTTACACCTTTCCTTTCCCCTTCAAGAAGAATGAGCCCAGATTTCGGGGGGGCGTGAAGGTGTCCCCTGCGCGGTGACGGCCCTCGCGGCGAGGTTACCGCCGCGTACCGGAGTCGGAGGTGGCTGGGCTGGCGGGCTCCCCGCAGTCCCTGGCGCAGAGCAGCCGGCCATCTCTCAGCACGCACCGGTCGCCTTTCCGCAGGCGGCGCGCGCACACGCAGCAGCAGAAGCAGCGCAGGTGGTAGACAGACTCGCGGGCCCGCATGACCAGCTCCGACGGCCCAATGGCCCCCGAGCAGCCTCCGCAGCGAGCTGCAAACAGGCTGGGAGAGAGGGACAGCGTCAGAGGGACGGAGAGAGAGAGGTGGCGGGAGTTAGCGGGATACTAGTCAGCCGGAGGCTTCCATTCAGGTCTGCTCCCGCCGGGTCCACTGGGGTTTTCTTCTAAATATGCGAGGTCCAGACAATAGGCTCACCACAGAGATACCGGCTCAGGTAGCCGCCGAGGTTATGGCCCGTGTCCGCGGGAGAGTAAACAAGCACAGACAGGTGAAAAAGTCAAATGTGGACAGCCGACTGAGCCAAGTCAGAAGGCCAAAGTACTCCAACCCTGTACTCTTGATAGGAGCCTGCTGTTATACCCTTAGACAAGATATCTAAATTCCTTTTGGAAAAATAATGCTGTAGACAGTCAAAAACTTTGAGGCAGGTAATTCACATTGTATAAAAGCATATTCTTAGCAATTTAGCAAAATAACATCCAGGAGCAATTAATCTCTATGTAACTCTATATAACATTAAGCTTTTTTTGACTCAAGTTCGAGTTGCAATCCAAGCACATCTAGTGTATTATAATGGCAATAAAGTAACGTGAAGCATTTAAAGCACATATTATATGTTTCTATACCCTGGACTGCACAGGAAAAAGGCACTTCTTAAAAACACCTCTCTCTCTCTTACTCACGGACTGTGACACACTTTCAAACATCTAGCAACTTTGGATCGAGCACAAAGAACATTTCCATGGGGTGGTAATCTCTGTAGCAACAGGCGTGATGAAAAGAGTGCAAAGAAGTAGCCTCTGACGAAGCCTAACCACGCACGCCACACCGCCGTGTCAGGCTACCCACATTCCGGCAAAGCACTTCCCAAAACCACGTCCTACCCCACATCCCACCCGAGCCCCCCACACCTCCCCCCACACCACTCCACAGTTCCCATTCGGAAGCTCGTCCGTCGGGGGAAAGCCGGAATGTTGCTGAGTCGTCCCTTTCTTTGGACTGTCTGGAGAGGGGGTCCTTGTTGACGACCTGCCCCCCCCCCCCAAACCCCCCCCATCCCTCCCTTCCCCCTCCTGTCCCACCCGACTCTGCTACACACCCGTAGAGTGGCAAGAGTACGTTTGTAGCGCCTGGCAACCAGAGTTGGGCTAAGTCCCCTAAACTATGAGTGATTTCTGGCTGCGGTGTATGGGGCTGCCATCCCGGGGAGCGGAGAGAAAAGAACTCTGCGTGTCATGGCTCCAGTCGGAGGAGAATTAGGTTTCCCATGGGGTAGGCTGATCCACTGTATTATCTTAACTCTACTTAACTAAACAAAAACAAAAGGAGGGAACATACCCTCATGTTCATTGTCCTCTCCTCAATGGTTTCATATTTGTTTGTCTTCTTTTGTTTGTTTCGCTCGTCTTGTCCTTCTCCTCTGTCTCACAGTTCACAACCACGCTGGCACTAATACGTTTTCAGTGTATCTACTCTGTTAAACAACTGTTAAACAACTATTAAGCCGTTTTATTGAATGTTTGAGCTAGTAAAAATTAAACCATGTATTTGTTCTACTTAAGCGTTTTTCTGTAGGCATTTATTTTTTAATCCAAGTCTAAATCCAGTCTGTGGATCAAACAAATAACCACCCCCCCCCCAAGTTTTTTTTTTATTGCGTAATAAACATCCATCTAAAGATCCCAATAACTGCTCTGTGTAGGGTAAACATTACGGAGGCACCGCTGGAGACTCACGGGGGATAGCAAGGTGCATCTTCCCAAGGAGCAGCATTGTTGTGACTTATTAGTGTTGCTGTAGAGTCGCCAAGGAGACCAATTAGAACGCTGCGAACGGCTGATGTGAGCCAGACAGACGGACTGACCGGAGCGATCTGCATGGGAGGGTCCGCGGCATGCCGGTTCTCAGGAGAGGCTGGCCGAGCCACGACCCACCCCCGGGAGTCTCGCGTTCACGTCTCTGCCAGGTTTACACCCTCCAGTCCCCAATGATCAGCCCGAGGAAAGATCTGGAAGACATCTGAAGCTGTCAGGAATAACTATTTCACCCACAAATGTTTATTATTTTATAAAACAAGCCAATGGGTTGTGACGTAATGGGTTGGGACAAATTTTCATTGCCTAAAAACAAACGGACATGGTGAATCTAAATAAGACCCATTAGGGGCTAGATATTAAGGTGAAATCAGTGTGAATGGTTTCTCACTCACGGCTGTTCTTCCAGTGGCGCTGGATGCAAGTTAAACTTTATTGAGGCTGTAACTCCAGCAGCTGAAACATTTGGAAGTTGCTAATCGCCGTGTACATTTGGCCCACAGTCACAGTAAACGGTAAAGAAAGCTGTGCTATTTCTTATTGCATATCGCTGGACCCCAAGTCAAATCCCCAGTAAAAAGCTAGGGGGCAGTGGGGAGGCAGGTCTAAGCAGTGGACAGGTTTTTCAAATGTATCCAAAGGTCACTGCTCTTGGACCTTTGAGTACGACCTTCTTCTACAAACATGGTAAAATTCAAGTTCTTTCCCACATGAGAAGAATGAAAGAGCAGCGATCAAGGGTTTCCTTTTACGATTTAAAGCTTCCCTCTGACGAGTTGTGAAGGGTGACCGCCAGGCCGGTGGGTTTATGACGGTTCGGACTAAATTACCGGAAGGTGCATAATTGACCCATCTAGCATGCAGGTACACTGGCTGTCACGGGTTGAGCAGTGCAGATATGGGTGCACTGTATTGGCTGCTGTAAACAAGCTGTACTCACGGTCGGAACTCAGCTCTGGGGAGGCAGCTGTAGGCCAGGGGAGGAGGCCGGGTGCCATCTCGGCCAGAGGTGCCAGGGCAGCGGGGTGAACCGTCGACCCCATCAAAAAAAAAAACAGGGCTGAGGCGAGAGGAAGACTGACGATGTGGCACTGGCCAGGTGGCTTTGGCAGTGGGCGCGCGACTAATTGGTTAGGTCAGATAACTCACGGTTGGATGGGCAGAGTCCCACCGCCGTCCGCCGGCCCGATCCAGATGCCACAGCTCTGCCCGCACACCGGAGCCTCGTCAAAAGCAGCGGTCCGCCAGAGCCCAGAACATATGGCGCGCTCTCGCTGCCCTGCCCCGACGAAGATGCCCAAGTCGGCAGCAGAAAAACCAGCCCCTTGCCGACGTCGGCTGCCCTTCTATAGTTATTCATGAACCGTCGTACGGATCACTGTGCGGCCGGCGGAGCCGACATGACTGTCTGATAAAAGGGAGACAGTAAACCATCCCGGATTTACCCAAAGCTGGAAGCCGGCTGCATCCCAGAGCGGCCTGTTTCCAGGTGTACCGTTTGGCAGAGGCGGCCTCCAAATCATACAGAAATAATGGGAGCCGGGTCCGTGGGCCGCGCATTGTCTCGCCTCTGCACTGCACTCTCGGCGCGAGGGGAGCCGGGTGCCACGCTGACGCGGCCATATGCCGTCCCCAGCTTGCCGTTGCCACGCCCGGCGGACTCCGCTAATTTAACACATCTTGACAACGTGTCAGTTGAGCTCTCCGCCAGATCTCTCCCTGCCTGTGGCACTGTTCGCACATTCCTGGGACCACTGTGGCCCTCCTTCCCGCAGTCACCTTGTCTTCCCGGTTGCTCTGACTGTGGCGGCTCTGCCAAGTCCCTTGGACCACAACACACACATACACACACACACGGCCCTCGGCTCACCACACATGCACGAGAACGCAGGCGCACACGCGCACACACACACGTTGCAGGCCTTGTCAAGGACACGCCGGAAAGAGCAGCTCTTGAATTGTTGACGGGCGAGATTGCCACAGAGCTGGGACAGGTGCTGTCTCATAGCAGGAAAGTGGGAAAACTTTTTCTCCTCAGTTTTCCGCCCCTGGAAAAAGGTGTTTGAATTAATTGAAGTATACTTTCTGTGAATGGGACTCTAAATGCACAACGGTATGTAAAGTGACTACAAAAGCAATATACGCTTTATGGAAAACCTATCAATCTCCTGTGCTGTGTGCAATAAACACTGACAGAGAGATCAGTCAGTGCAGGTACAATGCTAAACACAAGGCCCTTTGCTAGGCACGTGCAATAATATCAGTCACGACAAAATATGAAAACCGATATTTTCGTACTTCTAGTGTCATATCAATACAACTGATTTATTTGTATATAAAGATAAGGAAGGAAACTTTTAATTTCAAAGAACATTTTCCCGAATGGTATAAATACATCGCGAGTTATTTTAACTACCGCACCATTGCACTGTTTTACTCCAGGTTCTGAACCTCACAGACCGAGCATAGCTGATGGAATTTAGAGAGTCGATGCTTATGTCCCTTCCCAGGACTGCTCATGTGGTGCCACCTCTTTAAAAGAACAATAGGGATTAGTGACTTGTCAATTTCGGGAGCCAGCAGTCCCGTCCGCAACCTTTGCTCTGTCTGGAGCGCTCCCGAGAAGGCGCAAAGCAAGAAGGGAAACGCGCCCGATCGTAACAGACAGCTCTCTGGCAAGAATCTGAAGAAATATGTCAAACAGCTGAAATATATAGGAGGGTGCATACGGCATATTGTGATCGTGCTTCGTTAATTACCTGCCGCACAGCTCAGCGTTTTGTAGTCTTAAACCGTAGGATTCGTGTCTTGAATTTTATTTCTCTATTAATTGACATTGGAGGCGTTCCCTTATATAACGATAAACATTAAATAGGCCTATATGTAACACTTTAAATATGTTTTCTTTACGCAATAGGCCTACATTGTATTTCTCACAGTAAGAAGCGAACAGACGGACACTTACTTCTCGTAGTCGCGCTTGCAGTAAAGTTTGTTGTCCCGCAGAAAGCAGCTGTTTTTCAGGGGCTCCCTGCAAGCCGCACAATTGACGCATTGTTCGTGCCAGAAGCCGTCACTTACGCGGAGCAGGTATTTATCACGGATCAACTGGTGACATCCTTCACACACCGACTTTTGGGGCAAATCTGGGGGAAAACATTATGTCAACAAGGAGAAGAATCGCACGGCGTTTGCTGTTTTCCACCTGTTTGAAGCTGCACTAATTATATAGCGCTACTGCGATATTAATTTTTAACGAAGTGCTTAATACATATTATATTAAAATAAAAATGTAGGCTATACTGTACCGAACACACAACATACAATACATTTTAATAATAATGCAAACCGTAAAAGCGGCGTAAATTCAGACCAGTGTAAAACACGGTTAGGAAAGTATTTTAAAAAGTAATGGATAACACACAGGCCTATTTTTAATTTTAAATCTATTAAAATGATCATTTAAATCAATTAAACTAATGAATATATTTAATTAAAGAAGAAGCGCAAAAATTGCTTAAACATCCATTATTAAATTTAGCTAAACAAACTGCAAGATATTGAAATTATGTTTTAAATAACACAGGCTACAAAAATCAGAGATCCGTTTTCGATTTTCGCATCGGAGTGAAAAAAAGTGGCAGCACTCAATTTTAGATTCTGATCGATTAAATACCAATTACAGGTGCTGGTTTATTTTTACTCACCAAGCAGGGACGCTGGCATGTTTCCTTCCATGCTATTACCCAACAGCATCTTCTGTGAGATTTAAAAAATATGTATGGTGAAGCACCACATAAATTACGACAGACAAATTTTACTGTATTCAACAATACTAAGAATTATATCGGTGCATTATATTAATAATATTTACTCATCCATTGGAGCAAAAATGTATGCATTTATGATCGCAATGAATGTATTTATGATCATTTACTATAGTTATATTCATTGCATACTTTACATTAAAACGAAAAAGTAAAACATGTCAACTTGGTAGAATCACCTGCAAATAATCCAGCCTTCCAGATACTTCTCACTATCTTTCCTTCATTATCTACGACAGACAGTTGGAAATGAGAAAACTGAAAAAAAAAGGTTTTGAAAAAGAAGGAAAAGGGAGAAAGTTTTCTTTCTCTGACTGCGACGAGCGTTCCGTAGGTCTTCTCTTCACTTATTGATTAGCGACCATTTATTTAACCCATTAGTCCACCAGAGCGGTGACTGAGCATCTCTCTACCTTGAAGCACTTTGAGGGTCGCGTCTTCATTACGGCACTGTCTCGCCGCATCTTCATTCTCCTCCCATCTCTGCCACGGTCGCCCCTCTCCATAGCACTTCAGACTGAAACTTCAACATTAGCGATGCTGTACAGACATGATATTATGACGTGCGCTCAGCTCACCATTAAACATACAAAATAATGCAAGATCACAAGTAAACATACCCTCTTGTGTTTAATGATCTGGAGGTTGAGAAATCTTCCAGGTAGCCATCATGAATCTACATCTGAGACATTTAAAACAGTCTTAGACATCTAAAATGTACTCATCCCAAAATGTATGCTATCGTGAAATAACAATTGCATTACTTTACTTTAGTGCCAATAGAATATAATGTTTTACTACAATAACTGCAGCAGCTGTAATAGCAATAACAAAAACAATAATAATGATCTTTTTGTGATTCTGGCTTCACCGTAGCAAAAACTGGTTTGGTAGGCCTTTTACAGGACTTTTATAGGAATTTTTATGCATTTTAAAATGAAAATGTAATAACTTATATTAAATTGAGAGTTTTACTTGAACAAAACCGTGTGATTTATTAAGTTGTAGTGGTCAAAATATACTTCCAGCAGTTCAGTTCTCCGAATCATTTATCTGTTTCTGTAAGCGTGTTGGTTACGTCTAGAAGTCTGAAGGACCCACAAATTAAACAATTGATTATGGGACGTTCCTTTACATTTATAATCTAATTTGTAGTATTTTCTTAAACTAGAATAGCCTGACGTTTGTCCTAAACGCAGATGTTTTAAGAATATGTTTGATTACACAATGCACGTCTCCTTACATTGCACATTGTGTAATAGAGTGTATACAAAAACAAAAACTCCAGGCAAAATTATTATAAACACAGGGAAACAATTTAATCTATAATTATTACACGGCGTTCGTTATGATAGCAAACATCTAGCTTTCGTTGCATTAATCATTCCCTCCCAAAAAAGTTGCGCATTTGATTATTTCAAATTTCTCGGTCTTTCCGCAACACTGGTAGCAAAATCAATTTTGAAACAGTAACTAATAACCGAATCATATATTTAAATGAAGCAAAACGTTGAAGTTGATGCTCTTTGAGTTACTAGAGCCGCAAAAATCTCCGTTTGCTTCCTCAACAACCACATTCGCGCCGCAGAATCCAAAACATTAAAGCATTCAGTCACGTTTCGTGGAAATGGAAGCGAGCTCTTTATTTACCCCATGACCAAACCTGACACAGGTTACTGCTTTGCATAATTTCCAAAATTAAATTTACATTGCTGGTACGATTATTAACGCCTGCCGCCTTAGTGTTTCCTCTTGATGACGAGCCAAGAATCTAAGACAATTGCGGTTCATTTTCCATTTTGGCACATTTGACTATTATGTTTCGCTAGCAGACAAGGGTATAACTAAAAGTGAAAATAACGAACGATAGCACTGCAAATACGCTGGGGTGTACTCCGTCAGCTAATAAAAGTGGCACGCTTTTGGAGTGATTTTCCCACTGGCGTGGGAGTGTGTGAAAGTGGGGTGCATATGATGCTTCTAAACTCACCCCGGGAGGCTCAGGACTGCCTCATTGACAGATGCCATCCTCGGTGATGTAACCAGTGTCCCCATTGTTCTACCGCCAGGCTGGTGTCACTGGTAGTACGCTCGATGTCAGGGGAAAACAGGACCGCAGTTCTCCAATAATGAGCTTTGTGTGGCAACAGGCTCTTACTCGCTGTCAGTCTTCTGGATGAAGTGACCGCATGACCGTCGGTCTTCAATCTTCTTGACTCGTTTTAGGTCTTGAAGCCACGGCGTGTCGTGCAAATAACCCCGTGGAGCAAAGTTTTGATTTCCCAAAGTCTTGATCGTGCAGCTAACGAACCGCTGGGGGGCATTCTATCCCCATTGGTTTCTTTTAGACACAAGTGTGAGCGACAGACCTAAGGCAATATTATGCCCTCTGTCGGAGAGCGAAATATGAAATTTACTTCACACGCGCTCAGAACATTATTTGGCATTAACATCACGCCATCTACCGTTACATTACAATAAATGTCTCAGCGTCAATATTTGTTTTCACAAAGGGAAGCAAGCACATCCAAAAAGTTTAAATAATTTTATTGTGACACAATCATGAAACATATTCCATAACGGTAAATATTGTCCAGTTCCATCTTCCATTTGCTTATCCAGAGAAGGGCACCGGTTGGGTGGGGGGTAGGGCTCCCTGGAATGGGATGCCAGTCCAACACAGGACATGCAGTCATAGACTATGGCAAATTAGAGATGGCAGTAAAACCTAACAGCATGTCTTTGGACTGCAGGAAGGGGGGGAACATGCAAACTCCACACACACACACACACACACACGGCAGGGGTGGGATTTGACCCCCCAAACTTGGATGTGAAAGGTAAGACTACTACGCACCACGCCACTGTGCTACCTCGAGTTTAACAAAATTAATTTTAATACAGTTTTCATTTCATAACATTAGCTTCAACATTGCATTGACCTGATGTTACGTAACTATTTACAGGAACAAAAGTTTTTACAATTCTATGAAATTCTTTTCAACAAAACTCGTTTGCCCTCCTAAATGTAATTTTGCATTATTAATTATGCCCCGTACAAAAAAATAGTTTACAGCTGAGGTGACTTAAACCTTTACATCAATTACAGCGATGTGCATAATATTTACAAAGAGCCTAGGAGCCTGTGTCACGTAGCCTGATGTGGAGCTTCCAGCATTTCCATGAGGAAGGTGTCGATGGGGGTATCGCCGATCAGTTTGAAGAAGAAGAGATGCTCCAGACATTTCAGTCCGATGGAGCGCAGGGCAGGCAGACGGAGCAGCAGTTTGGCAAACCTGGAAAGGGGGAAGAAACTTTGGTGGTATTTTAAAAAAGCAATGCTATTGCAATATTTTTAAATCTCGGGGATAAAATCTGCTGAGCCTACTTCCTTCCCTTCCACCCTGCTCTTGGCAAATTTTATCACCAAGATTTCAAAATACCGTGGTATACCTTACTACTTTAAATCTGCCCTAGCCTACCCCAAAGTATTTTCACCTAAAACACTAAAATAACTTGGACAAAAGCATGCTTTTTGTTTCGAAGGGTATTCTGTACATAGTACGAAACCACTGAGTTGCTATTAGTTGGGTGACTAGTTACATGTAACAACATTATATAATTAAATTACAGGTATCCTTCATTTAACGTCTGCATTACGTTCTGTATAACACACCGTTAAACAATTTAGACGGTGATAAAATATTATCACATTCACTTAGAAAGTGTAGGCTATTCTACCCTCCCATAGTGTAAGATGCCTTTAATTGCTGCACTAAGTAGTTTAAATACTTTGCAGATAGCAAATGATAAGTGAAATATGGTTAACTAGAGTTCATTATAGTACTGTGACATTATACATCAGGCAATGCTGTACAGTACAGTGTCTTTGTTGGCTGACAGCGGTACTTAGAGCCTCTACCTACCGCTCTCTGCCCGCTCTCTACCTACCGCTCTCTATCTACCGCCTGCCCACTCTCTACCTACCGCCTGCC